TTCTGTCACAACACAGCTCCTGTAAGAACTGTCAATACATTCTGTCACAACACAGCTCCTGTAAGAACTGTCAATACATTCTGTCACAACACAGCTCCTGTAAGAACTGTCAATACATTCTGTCACAACACAGCTCCTGTAAGAACTGTCAATACATTCTGTCACAACACAGCTCCTGTAAGAACTGTCAATACATTCTGTCACAACACAGCTCCTGTAAGAACTGTCAATACATTCTGTCACAACACAGCTCCTGTAAGAACTGTCAATACATTCTGTCACAACACAGCTCCTGTAAGAACTGTCAATACATTCTGTCACAACACAGCTCCTGTAAGAACTGTCAATACATTCTGTCACAACACAGCTCCTGTAAGAACTGTCAATACATTCTGTCACAACACAGCTCCTGTAAGAACTGTCAATACATTCTGTCACAACACAGCTCCTGTAAGAACTGTCAATACATTCTGTCACAACACAGCTCCTGTAAGAACTGTCAATAAATTCTGTCACAACACAGCTCCTGTAAGAACTGTCAATAAAATAGTGTAGCGGCTTTAAAGCCTGCAAAAGCATTTACAGAAAATTGCATGTGCAAAAGTTAAACATCATCTGACAAGAATTGAACAGTTTATTCATTGTTGAATGTTGCACTTGTGACTAGTGCCTACTTTTCAATACTAAAATGAAGACTGAGACTAAATCTGAAATACGCTCCTATATGAAAGTATAATGTGCTTTACAGATACAATGTACCACCAAAACAAATACATGCAGAATTGTCCAGCATATAAGACACCTCTGCCCTTGTATTGAGAACTATTTCAGGTGGGTGAATAAGTTCTAGATTGGTAAAGTTGACATCAAAGAGGACACTCGGCCAGGCAAGCCAGTTGTTGTGGCAAAGAACATTGCTGCTGTCAAATAAACATGGTCATTATACTGATGCTGAGATTATAGCTCAAGTGTTTGGTATTTAAAAAGGCAGTACACATCACATTCTGACCAAGTGCTTGAAATTAAAGAAGCTAAATTTAAACCCGATGGATTCACCATATGCTGACATCTGAACAACAGGCCAAATGTTTGTTATGTGTTAAAGATCGATAAAAAAAAAGTATGGAAATTGCAACTCATAGAAACTTTTCTGAGTTACTTAAGATACCTGGGTCTATTACTTTGAACCCTAGAGGTGAATTAAATTAAACCAGGCAAGGCCAGTGATTGCCAGATGTATAAACAGTACCAAGAAAGCTTTGTATGCCATTTTTTTCAATATACCAGTATATCAAGGGGAGACTACTGTACAGCATTTAAGTCATGGATTGCATAATTGTGAAAGTGTGTTTCTGCTAAAGGCAAATACTTAGAGGGATTGTACTATATACACCATACATGTGATTCCTGTCACTAGTGACAAAATTTATTGAATGGCCTTCATACGGCACAATTTCATGATTTTTTTATTGTTACAAGAAACCAAACACATATATATATAATATGTACGTCAAGTAGAAACAATCTTGATGCAGCTTTATTTTAAGCCAACAAGAGTGATTAATAAAAGTTGAGGAAACTTGTTTCATAATTGTTTTAAAATAAATAAAGTTTATATTATATTAACTATTATCACTAGAATTAACACAGACATATCCCAAAGGGGGCAATACAACGTTTTCTTCACAGTTTAGCTCTCCTGTTCTATTTTGAGTAAGTGACCAGAGGAACTTGCAAAACCTCCTATCGTACACCTACAAATAAACAGTGTATCAATGAACAAGAGCACTTTCAGTTTAGATTTCAGAGTTCCGAGATAATCTCCGGAAATAAAAGTGCGGACAGAAGAACAACAGACACTTCGACTATTATAAGGCTAGCCCTAATGACTTCCCGTCATTACTTAGAGGAAAATACTTACCTAGTTCTTTAAAGACATATCTAGGCTGAATTCTGAGTGTGTGCTGAGCATACTCGTGTAGAATACAAACATAGGACTTCCCTGATGGATTCAAAATGAACTCTGAAAGCACAAATGTTGCAAGAATAAAACACCAATTACGCAATTAATATCTGAATACATAGAGAATAATACACACCTTTTTCCATATTACACCCAGTATCAACCTGAGACTGCAATATCAGCCCAAGGGCCAATATTGGTCGAGAAGTGTTGTTTCCCTATATAAACTACAGTAAACTTTACCCCCTCCCCAAGGGAGAACGGAAAGCTCGGGGGTCCTGAAATTTACAATTTAAATAAAGCCCCTGATGATCTTTCCATCCATGCAGAGAAAATGACTGTAATACCTCCGAGTCTGGAGAAGAAGATTTTTGAAATATAGGTTAATTTTCCCTTTTGGGCCCCGTCCTGGCCCCTAGGGTTGGGTTAGGAATCCCAATTTTACAATTGGTAGCCTCATTTACCAAGGATGATTCTGACCAAGTTTGAAAAAATTCCATCCACTGGTTCTTGAGAAGTCGATAATGTAAAAAGTTTACGCACGACGGACGATAAGTGATTGGAATAGGTCACTTGAGCAAAGCTCAGGTGACCTAAAAACCCGTATTTATTAGTAAGGCTAATAGCCTAATGCTATTATATATGTATATATATATATATATATGTTCACTTTATGATGAACACACAACTTAAAATTCAGTAGGTTCTTTATGTCTTTTTTGGGCTGAAAGTGTAAGACCACACATTCCCAAACTATTAGTCTTTATGGACATATGCAATCTAACTGTTAAAGGGAAAAGTGTTCTGTACTAAAAAATCTGTCAAATGTCTTTTATGAATGGTATTTAAATTTGTGGTCAGTTTATTTATAGTGGCACATACTGATTATTACACTTGATACATGCAATTCAAAATCAAGAGGAAATGCATATCGAAAGATTTTTATTGGATTTCTCTTAATACACCAATTACATGTAGGATCTTCACTGTAGCATACAGTGTTGGAAGTGTTGAAGGATGGATGCCTGCTCAATGAGCTAACAGTGCAAGGGATTACCTTTACGTTTAGGCTTTTCGTCTCCTTTCACTTGTGGGATTTTGCAAGTTATCAGCTTGGTGTTAGATGGCTGGTAATTAAAAAGAGAAATTAGTGAAAAAGGCTTGAAATTTGTCATTACGACTGAAAATACAAGGAAACAATCCTCACAGGTTAGCTTATCAGGTTGATTGATATAAGTACACAGATTACAAGTTTATTACGTTATTTTCATGTGTGCTTTACTTTACAAACTTTGCCTGTAGGTTTTGTTTGCAATTACATAAATCTTAATTGAGAAACCAAAAATAAATCTCTTTGGAGGGTGGTTTGCAGTGTGGTTTGCAGTATACTTGACTAACGTGAACTTTACCCGTGAAGGGTGAATATTTCCCTGGACAAAAGGTCCCTACTTCAACATACAAGCAATGTACTACTAGCTGTCAAATTATTGATGATTTTTGAACACACATTGGAGGTAGAATTATCCAGAAGAAGCAAGCATTCATCACTTATAAAACTCAATGGCATTTAACTGATACATGTATTTGATACCTGTTACATATGTTGGATACATGTATTTGATCCCTGTTAAATATGTTGGATACATGTATTTGATACCTGTTAAATATGTTGGAAACATGTTTCCTTTTCAACATTTCACTGACAGGACCCAACTTTCTCTTTCAATTCACACATTCATGATTATAATAACAAGGAAAACAAGAGGCCCAGGGACCTTAATAGCTCACCTGGTATTTTATTTTTCAATTTAAAACCTGCTGAGTACCATTCAGGTTTATCAAAGGAGTACAAGTAACAAAGTTGCATCTTCCATTTATAAATATTCAATTCCCTTTGCCCAAAGATTCTCTAAAACAAGTTTGGTTAGGTTAAAATCCCTTCAACGGTACAGAAGGAGAAGGATCTTTAATGTTTTCCTCTATTTCCCCTAATGGGCCCCACTAATCTGCCCCAAAGAAGGGGAATCCACACACCTCAGTTTAAACAAAATTGATTCTTTTCTCCCTAAGCATGCTTCAGACTGCATTTGGTTTAAATCCCTTCACTTGTATAGTAGGAGAAAAAAAATCCTCTATTTCCCCTATTGGGCCCCGCTCCTATGCCGCCAGAAGGCCCACACCCTCCGTTTATACAAACTTGAGTCTCCTTTGTCCAAAGATGCTCTAGGACAAATTTGGTCAAAATCCTTCAATTGGTTGAGGAGAAGATTTTTAAAGATTTACCTATTTTCCCCTATTTGGCCCCGTCCCTCTGCCCCCAGGGGGACCATACCCTCCGTTCATACAAAACTGAGAACCCTTTGGCCAATGATGCTCCAGACCAAATTTGGTCAAAATCCCTTCATCGGTACAAAAGGAGAAGGATATTTGATGTTTTCCTCTATTTCCCCTAATGGGCCCCACCCATCTGCCCTTAGAAGGAGGCCCACACACCTCAGTTTATACAAAATTGATTCTTTTGTCCCTAATCATGCTTCAGACTGCATTTGGTTAAAATCCCTTCACTTGTATAGCAGGAGAAAAAAAATCCTCTATTTCCCCTATTGGGCCCCGCCCCTCCGCCCCCAGAGGGGCCACACCCTCCGTTTATACAAACTTGAGTCTTCTTTGTCCAAAGATGCTCTAGGACAAATTTGGTCAAAATCCTTCTATTGGTTGAGAAGAAGAAGATTTTTAAAGATTTACCTATTTTCCCCCTATTTGGCCCCGCCCCTCTGCCCCCAGGGGGGTTATACCCTCCGTTTATACAAAACTGAGAACCCTTTGGCCAATGATGCTCCTGACCAAATTTGGTCAAAATCCTCTGAGCCATTCAGGACAAGTAGCATTTTAAAGGAAAAAGTTGACGGACGCCGGACGCCGGACGCCGGACGACGGATGCTGCACCATGGGATAAGCTCACTTGGCCCTTCGGGCCAGGTGAGCTAATGATAAACCAAAGTTGACTAATTCCCTTTGGAAAAGAAAGACAGGTCACATGCCTTAATTATGAAAACATTCACACATCATCCACGGATCAAATAGCATCACATTATGTAACCTCATCATGGACAGGGTCCTCAAACCTGACAAACATATGTTAACGTGACACCATTATTTTGAGAGAGATATTTTCTTGCCTAGGCATTAGCTTGTTTTTAGTGTTGGTGTATAATTATCAACAAGAGGTCCAGAGGGCCTGAATTGCTTACCTGGATATTTAAGCAATCATGGCAAAAACTTTTCATTGAAAGTAGTATGGCAAATGAGATCCTAAAAATATGGCCAGTTCCCTTGGCCAATCCTGGCAGCATATGTGTATATTCATGCTCAGCAATAGCATATATTGCAATAGGGTGGGAATCTCAAATGTTTCACGTTATGACCCAGCGACTAAGTCCTTCAAGGTATCCCCAAGGCCATATTGGTAGCATGATTGTGTTTGTCTCATTATGTTCAGCAATTGTAAATTTGGTTATGGGGTTGAAATCTCAACAGTTTCAAAGTTATGATCAAGGAACAAGTCCCTAGGGGTGTGGCAAGACACCAGAGTCAATTCTATTACTATAACTGTATTAGTCTCTCTTTGCTCAGCAATTGTACAATTATATGGTTATGGGGTGGACATCTCAACCGTTTTCATGTTGTGAACAAGATGTCAAGTCCCTATAGGTGTGTCCAAGCCAATTTTAATAGTGAGAAGGTTGATATCGTTCTGTAAGTTCCAGAGAAGAAGTTGCTTAAAGCAATATGGTCACAGGGTGCTTCCAGGCAATCAAATTCCAAACAAACAGCGGTTTTGCAGAAGAAGTCGCTAATAGAAATTGTTGATGGACGGACGATGGCATAAGCCTATCTGATGAGCTAAAATAACTCCATAATACCAATAGAAAAATCTCAACCCTTAACCTAGACCCAATCTCTACAGAGCCTCATTTCAGTAGTCTTTTAACACTGTACTTACCAGGGCTGGACGAGACTGTGATCTTATCGCATTTAAGTGTCGCCTTCGGTCCTTCCATGTTCTACAAAATTGGTAGTACTTCAATGAACATGTTGGACTTTGAATCAAACGGTCATAGATTTCAAAACTGGGACATAAATTATTTTTCATTTTACAATGGAAAGACTATACCATCTTTACAGAAAAGATTAAAAACAATTGTTAATAAAATATAGCTAACCATATTTTTGTGCTATGATTACATCTGTATGATTTCATCACCGGGATATCCAGCATGCTGCTTTCTATGTTTAACTCTGAATCACAGGACTTTTGACTTTTAAGTTTTTGATAATATGTAAGGGAGATCCAACACTCATAATGTAGCAAAATGCAGTATCGTTCTAGGTGGATCTGTAAAAGGATTTTGTTAAGTTCCTTACTAATAAAACATATGAAGGGATTAATAGAATCTAACATGGGTGTGTTCCACAAACAGGGAAACCTCAACCTGAGGGTAAGAGTTTGGCTCAATAACCAAACTCTTACCCTAGATTTGCATGTCCACGGACCATTCCCATGTTTGATCCTTTTTCTCCCAGACTCGAAATAAAAATGGCCAGTGTCACTACTCCGTGACCTTCATATGCTTGTATTCCATAACGAGCATAAATACAACTATGTTAATTCTAAAGGGGTGATGAACCCTGAACATGAAATCAGAAATCCATTTAAAGCACAACTTTAATAATATTAACGTTATAATTTAATAATTCAACAACTGTAGTTTATCAGTTAATATATCTTATAATAAGTACAAAATTAATGAACATTTAACAGTCAAAACGGAACAGTTTCAAATGTCAACGTCATTTTGGAGACATGATGTCAAAGCGCATGTAGACAAGAGAAAGACCGGTTTATCTTTTCACCGGTCAATTCCTGTGTTTCACGGGCAAGTATGGGAGAAAAAAGAATTCCTTTATCCCTTCACAAATAAGTTTTTGATACAAAATTTCAACAAAATGGAGCTAAACACAAAGCTTAGTTAAAGTCAGTGAAATGGAAAAGTAGGACAAAGTGACCTACATTTGATATATCAGTGTAGTACTCCTCAAGCTGTATTCATATACGAAATTTGATTGACTGCTGGACTTTCAGTTTTAGAGAAATAGAACTAAATACAGAGTCTATCCAAAGTCAGTGAAGAAGCAGAAAAGGTAGGTCACAATGACCTACATTTGATAAACTGGTATATTTATAGTGCTCCTTTTAAGATGTGTCCATTCAAGTGTTTGATTGACAGTTAAACTTAAATAGAATTAGAGAAATGGAGCTAAATGCATTAGTTCTAAACAAAATGCTGTCCGGACCAAGGTACATGGCAAATGTTCATTCCCCTATGTTTCTAAGGACATGGCAAATGTTCCTTCCCCTATATTTCTAGGGACATGGCAAATGTTCATTCCCCTTTGTTTCAAGGGACATGTGAAATGTTTCTTCCCCTATATTTCTATGGACATGTCAAATGTTCCTTCCCCTATATTTCTATGGACATGGCTAATGTTCCTTCCCCTATATTTCTAGGGACATGGCTAATGTTCCTTCCCCTATATTTCTAGGGACATGGCAAATGTTCCTTCCACTTTATTTCTAGGGACATGGCAAATGTTCCTTTCCCTTTATTTCTAGGGACATGGCAAATGTTCCTTCACCTATATTTCAAGGGACATGGCAAATGTTCCTTCACCTATAATTCAAGGGACATGGCAAATGTTCCTTCACCTATATTTCAAGTGACATGGCAAATGTTCCTTCTCCTATGTTTCAAGGGACATGGCAAATACTCCTTCCCTATGTTTCAATGGATATGACAAATGTTCCTTCCCCTATATTTCTAGGGATATGGCAAATGTTCAATACCCTTTGTTTCAAGGGACATGTCAAATGTTCCTCCCCCTTTATATCTAGGGACATGGCAAATGTTCTTTCCCCTTTGTTTCAAGGGACATGGCAAATACTCCTTCCCTATGTTTCAAGGGATATGACAAATGTTCCTTCCCCTTTATTTCTAGGGACATGGCAAATGTTCCTTCCCCTTTGTTTCTTGGGACATGGCAAATGTTCCTTCACTTATATTTCTAGGGACATGGCAAATGTTCCTTCACCTATATTTCAAGGGACAAGGCAAATGTTCGTTCTCCTATGTTTCAAAGGACATTGCACATGTTCTTTCCCTNAGGGACATGGCAAATGTTCCTTCCCCTATGTTTCAAGGGACATGGCAAATGTTCCTTCCCCTATATTTCAAGGGACATGGCAAATGTTCCTTCCCCTATATTTCTAGGGACATGGCAAATGTTCATTCCCCTTTGTTTCAAGGGACATGTGAAATATTT